ATATTTTGATAACACGAGTGGCAATAGGTGTCCATTTATGTCAAGCATTCTCCAAACCAAATTTACTCACAATTTTCTTAACATATTTACTTTGAGAAATAAAGATGTCATCTTTAATTTGTTTCACTTGGAAGCCAAGAAAGTAGATAAACTCATCAATCATGTTCATCTCAAATTCAGCCTGTATTTGTTGGACAAAATAATCTGTCATCTTATTTGACATCCCTCAAAACACGATATTGTCAACATATATATGACGTATCAATATATTTTCATTGTCTTTATTCACAAACAGAGTCGTGTTAATTTCTCCCCGGACGTAACAATGCATCGTAAGAAATTTTATGAGTTTCTCGTACAAAACCCTGGGGGCTTGTTTGAGGCCATTGAGAGCTTTTATTAGTTTATAAACATGAATGGAAAGATATAGATCGATAAATCCCTTTGTCTTTTTAATGTAACTTCCTCATTCAATTATACATTTCATATTCCTTTGATAAAATTTAAACCTAATGAGACATAACAAGTCGAGTAATAGTTTGATAGTTTCAAGACGGACAATATAAATAAAAGTTTTATCGAAACCAACCCTTTTGATCTGAGTGCAGCCTTAGGACAAAAGATAATCTTTCTTTCTAGTAACACACTCATTCACATTAGACTTATTCATATAAATCAAATTTGTGCCAATAATATTTATAGGATAAGGCTAACAACATGTTTTCTAATCAAAACAAAACCTTGAAATAATTGTGTTAATTAGTGTGATGCTCTTTTTTTTCCTTACAATATATGAGCGGTTTGGTATCATTATTTTAGTGAATTTGTATTTTTTTAATAGACACACTATATATTTTGAATATTTTAATTAATATAAATTGTTTTACTTTTTTAAAAAAGATAAACAAGAGACTATTATAAATTTTTTAACGATAATCGAAATACAAAAATATTTATAAAAATAAAAATATGAAAATTTATTAAATGAAAACAATCATAATAAATAGTTTTACACAAGATCCATCATAATTCTTTTATTAATTAAAAAATAAAAAATATAATTTTCTCTTCCTTTGTAATTACAACCACCTCATAAATTAAATTAAAAAATAAATTTAAAATTTTTTCTCTTCTAAGTACTTTTAAAAATATAAATTTTTATATATCTATATAATTATTATATTTTTTAATACGCGTAAAAAAATAAAAAATAACTTACAATAAAAAACGGAAGAACTATTTCACAAGCAATATTTTATAAAATGCAGAAAATAAAAATAAAAGAGAATTGAATATTTTATTTGAAAAAAAACAAGATTAATAATTTATTGAAAGGTCCTGTTGTTTTTCTTAACCCATGTGGCACGTGCTTATTATTATGAGAAATAATTTGATACGAAATTTTTTGCGTCAATTTAATCTCTACCATCCATCTGTACATTTCATACTCGCAAGCGACGCTGCTAGGTCCCACGTGTGCAGAAACTTATAATACTCCAAATAATAGTTTATTTTGGGCTAAAGTCCACACCCATCATAATCAAATTCATATATATTCAATTATGAGCATCCTTAATCAACATAAAATAGTTAAATTATATATATCTTTTTTCAATTTAATCTTTTTATGCCTTATATCTCTTGAGATGGTGAGAAGAGAGAACATACAACATACTTGTTTGTTATATTGAAAACCATAGTTTATAGATAATTTTACAGTCAATTAATTTTTTTTATTATTTTAAAACGAATCATTATGACAATCCATTATATTAAGCTTATATTAATTAATTATAAAAATAAATTTTAACTAAATTTATTACTTAATTGAATTACTAATCAACTAATTAATTGATATATAACTAATATGATTAAACAAATATATAAAATATAATAATTAAATTGAATATTTAATAAAATATTTCAACATTTTAATCTTTCTATAAAAATTAATATTAGTTGTTTTTATTTTATTTTATTAAATATGTTAATTAAAAGCATTATTTTAAATAAATAAAAAATAAGAAATAATAATTGTTATGGACTGCTTATAAGGTTAAAACTAAAGGCTTAATGGTAAAGCAAAGTAGCAAGCGTAAGAAACAAGTAATTCTCTATTCTCCCTAAATCAAGTAATTTCATCTTCATGGACATTGTTAGCGACTCAGATCAATCAGACGGTTGACTGTGGTCCATGTCTTACTATGTGCTTTTTCCTTTTATTTGTTCTCATTATTTAAGAGAGAAAATGACATTTACTACGTATTCAAATGATTTTCACTCTCACATCACTTTTCATCCTCTTAGTAACTTAGACGTTAAAATGCTAACTTTGTAGGTCAGCCCGTATCCAGCGCATCGAAAGTTGAAGTCCATTATAGGCCAACCTTAAGGTGCAAGGAGCTACTGATCTACTGAACATTATTTAAAATATAGTGCAACAAAAGAATTCACAATTCTTTGCTGAAAGGCTGATCAGGATTGAGGAGAGCCTACAACACGTTAATCCAGTGAATAATATTGTGCGGGAGGCGACCTCTTAAATAAATCAAGTCGCCATTCTTGAATCGGCCTCCCAAATAAATCAAGTTTCTATCTTAAGTCGGTCTCCATTAAGACAACAACGTCGCGAGAAAAAATCTTTAGGTCGTCAGGAAATCGCGATATAAAATGCAGTCGAAAAGAAAAATTTCCCTTTGATTCTTGCAAACGAGCATGATCATTGATATATCAGTTATCTCTTGTGGCGATTAATAACTTTAATGCAAAATAAGAAGATCAATCATAAGCACTAAATTAAAAGCAACACCTCTACTTAGTTCACATGAACAAAATGTCTTTAATCTTAGTGCTAACTGTTCTGAATGAAGACCTTGTGTGTGTGTGTGTGAGAGATAGAGAGAGAGAGAGTATGACTAGAAATCGAATTTCTTAAAGTTTTAGAAGCTTATACACAATGGTTCTATTTATAGAACCACTTGTGTGGTCTGTAAGCTAAAAAAATCCACTTAAGCGTATTGTACCTTAAAATGTATTGTATCTCACTTAAGTACACGTTACCTTATGATATTCCATATTTCACTTAAGTACAATGTATCTCACGGTGTTCTACAATTTACTCAAACATATTGTACCTTACGATGTTTCGTTATTCTCTTTAGTACATTGTATCTTCTAATGTTCTACATTTCACTTATGATCATTATATCTCTCATCAACCTGTCCTTATGTGTGTGACCTTGTAGATTTTTGTGACGTTAACAATTATACTAAATCATACATGTAATATAATAAACAATGAGTAGTATCTAACAACATATCACTGCTACTCAAGTCACAAAAACGAGGTTCGTACATCACTTCAATCACGAGCAGTGTCTTAAGAGAAAGGAAGCCCTTAAAAGGGATGATAAAGAAGAAAATCATCGAGCTGATAGTTGTAAACAAGAAGGAGGAAACACTTCAACCAGAGTGCAGGGAGGCCACTCCTTGGATTTGATGTTAGTGAAAATGTAGGGGGAATCCCATACAAGATGTTTTTTCTAGTGATAACGGCCACAATTGCAAATTTTGACATTTCACGAGTCTTCATCAATGGTAGCAGTTTGTGTGATGGGGCTGAAGAAAGAGAAGTTACGGTCTTACAGAGGATCCAATTTGCAAACCTTCAACAAAATATCCTTGGGGGTTCATTAAATTACTGGCCACCTTAGGAGAGATACGAGATACCAAGATGACTGACTCCTAATCTTTGGTACTTTATTGCAAAAGCGTCTACAATTTCATCCTAGGTAGACTCTTCGAAGACACCTTAGACGCATTGACGTCCTCGGTCTACCTAAAGCTGAAATACCATAACGTCCATGATATTTCATAACGTCCATGATGTGTCGATAATGATAAACACTGACATATCTTGGGGGAATATGATATTCAAACACTACAACAAGACCCGTAAGAAGGCGAATGCATATCTATGGAGATCAACATGACTTTCTTAATTCAGTTGAGGGACATGACTATTCGACTCCCCAAAAATAACATAGATCACCTTAAATATCGATAGTAACTAATTATAGTGTTTAAATTTAAAATATAATAGATTTGTTCCGCAAATAAGTTAACATAGAATATCAAAATTATAATAAAATTTAAAAAATAAAAACAAAAATTTTAAAAATAGATTTTTGAAAAAATTAAAATCAATACATAAATAGTATTATATTATATAAATGTTGAAAAGAAAAACTTTGTAATTATTAGATAAAAATTATAGAGTGAGAAACATGTGTCAACCAGCTCAAAAGTTTCAATATTTATCAACAACTTCCTTAAAATAATAGAAGTTACTAAAAATTAGTTGAAAAAGAAGTCTCTCGTATTCTTATTATAAAAAATTATTTTTTACATCAGATAATCAACGTGGCTAAAAAGAATTTTTTTAATATATTAAATTTTTTTATATAATAAAAAAATGATGGAGTAATAAAATATAAATAATTAAAATAAAAAATAAATATAAGCAGGAAAGGCAAAGAAAATGAAAAATACTTATATGTAAACACAATAAATTAGATGAAAAAGAAAATGAAAAATAGTTATATGAAAATGAAAAAAATTATGATTATTTGTGTACATAATTATGTGTTAGAGTATTTTTATTTAAAATTTTTTCAAAAAAATAAAAAATAATATGACGAGGCTGTAAGCAAGCACGATAAGACGTGAAAAAGAAAGAAAAGAGATAAAGAAAGAAAGAAATTGGCGACGCGATTAGATGAGCTTGAGAATTTGAAGACACGTCGGTCATTGGTTGAACAAATGCCACCTGGCTCCTCACTACCGGCCATTTTTTTTTTTCAGTTTTATCTCTCTCTTTTTCAGTCTCTGTATAAATATTATATATTAAGTAAATAATATATAGTTTTTTATTTTTCTGAATTTTGCACTTTAGCGCTCTATTCAATCAATTGTAAATTCAGAATCGGAAGTAGTTTCCGATGACGGTTCCGATAGCGATGCAGTCCACGCCGGGAAGTTCAGGTTACTTGGATATGCATCCTGACCGTAAGATGTCCTTTTTCAAGAACCCTTACATTCTCGGTCTCGCCGCTGTCGCCGGGATCGGTGGTCTTCTCTTCGGTTACGATACCGGTTAAGTCTCATTTCATGATTTTAACTTCAATTAACCTTCGATTCATACTCGTAATGATAATCGTCGTAATCATAGTCTACATTTTTTCTCACAGGTGTTATATCTGGAGCTCTTTTGTATATCAAAGATGATTTTGAGGAAGTCAGAAACAGTAGTTTTCTACAGGTACTATACAGCTTAATCAATATTTGGATAAGTGCTTAAGTAAAACCTATTTTTATAACAAAAGATAAAGTAAAAGTCAAATTGCTTTTCTATAAGTTATAAATTGTTTTTGTGTATGTTTGCTTTAGCTTTTGGACAATTCTATAGATGTAGAATTGAATTTGAGGTATTTGGTTCTTCTAAAGTAGAATCTATTTTGTCTCCAGAATTTATTCTACTTATCTTACATTTGTAGCTTTTGTGTTTAAACATGATTTTTACATTTAAATTTCCAATTTAACTCAATTTTGCATAAAGTTATCCGATCATATGTCACTTTACATTCAACTCACATTTAACCATGATCAATTTTACGGAATTAATTTTACAAAATTAATTTTACAGAATCAATTCACTCAACATCAACGTTTTTCACCGCAAAACCAAACATACATGATATTATTTGTAACTTATAGCATAAGCATTTATCATAATAAGTTCCTACGTATAAGCTATTTCTGTAGCAAAAGATGAAATAAAGTTAAATTGTTTTGGTTTAAGTTATTAGTAGTTTTTGTAAGCTATTTTAGAGAATTTATGAAAATAAGCTAAAAACAATTTATGAGTTGTTTTCTTAAGTTCTAAACAGTTTCACAATACTAGTAGATAAGTTTAAATAAGACAATTCAAGCGAGCAATAATTTTGTATAGGTACTACTATACTATGCCGGTAACTAAGATGCCATCTAAATAATCAGCTTAATCATTATTGGACAAAGTTAAACTGTTTTCAAATAAGCTGTAACTTGTAAGCTGATTTTATAAACTATGGTAGAGAGCTTAAGGAAATAAGCTGAAAGCATCTTATAGATGTGTTATAAGCTGTTCTAAAGAGTCTCGCAAATGCTTTGCGGATAAGTTCAAATAAATAATTCTAAGCAAACCATTCATTAACACTTATAGTAGAAACATCTGCATATAAGTTATAAATTGTTTTTATAAGCTAATATGTAGGGCTTACAGGAATAACATATAAACAGATTATGGACGTCTCATAAGCTCACTCGAATAGTCTCACAAGTGTTTATGCTAGTAGAAAAGGTAATCAAAATAGATCACAAGTCATTCTGTTTTCTGATTCTCAATTATGTGTTTCTCAATCTCAGGAAACTATTGTTAGCATGGCAATTGCTGGTGCAATTGTTGGTGCAGCATTTGGTGGTTGGATTAATGACACTTACGGAAGAAAGAAGGCCACACTCTTAGCTGATGTTATCTTCATTCTTGGAGCAATTCTCATGGCCGCCGCACCTGATCCTTATGTTCTCATTGTCGGACGTCTTCTCGTTGGTATGGGCGTGGGCATAGCTTCTGTTACTGCTCCTGTCTATATTGCAGAAGCAGCACCTTCTGAAATTAGAGGTTCATTAGTCAGCACCAATGTTCTCATGATTACTGGTGGACAGTTTATTTCCTATCTTGTTAATCTTGCTTTCACTGAGGTTAGTCTGTTAGTCTTCCGCACTCTTCTTCTCTGTAGATGGATATGTGTGCATTTTCCTTCCTCGTGTTTGCTTTAGTTTTGTTTCATTGACCACATTTCATATTCTTAGTGACCGTTTACTTTTATTGTTTCTTGATTCCATTTCTACCGATAAAACAGAACATTAGATAAAATATTTTTGGAAATTTTGTAGGGTTTTCAAAACATTGTGTTTGGTGTATCTAGAAATGCATTCTCTTGATAGCTTCCATCTTCTCTCTATTGCAATTAAAAGGAAAAATCAATAATCAAATGTATTTTCAACCATTCAGATACATGTAAAAGTATGAAATTGAAAATGTTGTTAGAAAGTTAACGTGTCTTAAATAGAACAGGTTCCCGGGACATGGCGATGGATGCTTGGTATTTCAGCTGTGCCTGCAATTATTCAGTTTGTTCTCATGCTCTTCCTCCCCGAATCCCCAAGATGGTTATTTTTAAAGGTACGAATTTGCTCTTCTGAATAATTGAATCCTAACGTACTTCAGAAGCAACTTGTATATAATGCCATTTTAAAATTTTATTAACTTGGTGTACAGAATAGGAAAAACGAAGCTGTCGATGTAATTTCTAAGATCTATGACTTGTCTCGCTTAGAGGATGAAATTGACTTCCTAACTGCTCAATCCGAACAAGAGCGCCAAAAAAGGAGTACTATCAAATTCTGGCATGTTTTCAGATCAAAAGAAACCAGACTGGCTTTCCTTGTTGGAGGAGGACTTCTGGTAATAAAATAAAATGTTCGCAACCAAACTGTTTTTGTTGAATATAATTTGATCGTAGTTAAATGATCTCTGTAAATGCTCTTTGCTGTCAACATTCTACTTTATTAAACACATGTATATATATGAATATGAGTCATTGCAGAATCAATGTTCCACTTATGAGAAATCACAATCTTGTGCTAGACATGTTGGATTGCTCTAAAACAGAAGCATGTACTTTAAATCGCCATGTTCAAGGAGAATGGCTTGATTACATCACTATAATAATTGTATTTGTAATAAGATTTAAAAAGTGAACATAACATTGTGTTAAAATAGCTTTAATATTGAAAACCACAATGCTGGAAACATTAGATTTTAGGAGCTGAAATTGTATTGAATAGTAAATGTATCATTTAGTATGATAGAATCTCATTTTTAGTGATTTGAACATGTGTGGAAAAGGCTCAGAGAAGTATCGGTAAAAGAGAGTTGAATAGATGCAGTATAGTTTAACAGCCAAAGGTGGAGACCAAGATAAATTATAGGTCAAATCATTTAGAGATATTTATAGATAAACATGTTTTCGAGTTGATGCATAATAGGGAGTGTGACATTATGACATAGTTAAATTCATGTGACTGCATCTTGTCTGTTAAGATTTGATGAGTGTTTTCACCACATGTAACTTAATTTCATTTTGTCCTGTATTAAATAAACGCCATCACAGTAAATTTCTGTCTTATGTCTTCTCATTTCAGCTTTGAATCGAGATTCCAGTCTGGTCCTTAGCTTTATTGTTTCACCATACTTTGTTCGTTACTGAGTGTTGAATGCATTTCAGAATTAAGCTTTTTATTTGAATATAAATGACTTTGATCCTATGGTTGTGCAGGCTTTTCAGCAGCTTACAGGTATAAACACGGTCATGTACTACAGTCCAACAATTGTTCAAATGGCTGGCTTCGAGGCCAATAAGTTGGCTCTTCTTCTGTCCCTCATTGTTGCTGGCATGAACGCTGTCGGATCAGTTCTCGGCATTTACCTTATTGACAATACAGGGCGGAAAAAACTCGCCCTTTTCAGTCTGGGAGGAGTATTTGTTTCCCTTATAATGTTGTCCCTAGCATTTTATAAGCAGTCATCATCTTCAAATGCAGTGTATGGATGGCTCGCAGTTATCGCTCTAGGCCTTTATATTGGTTTTTTCTCGCCCGGAATGGGGCCGGTGCCGTGGACTGTGAACTCTGAGATATATCCTGAAGAATATCGAGGTATATGCGGGGGCATGGCAGCTACAGTGAATTGGATTTCAAATTTGATTGTGTCAGAGAGCTTTCTTTCGATTGCTGACAGTATTGGTATTGCTCCAACGTTCTTGATTATTGCTGGTATAGCTGTGGTGGCATTTTTGTTTGTACTTCTGTATGTTCCAGAAACCCAAGGGTTGACATTTGATGAAGTGGAGTTAATATGGAAGGAGAGAGCTTGGGGCAAGAACCCAAACACACAGAGCCTTCTTGAACATGGAAGTCAATCATAAGTATTCACATGATTAAATGTGTATTGTATTTCCTCCTATCACTTTTATAAGCTGGTTTGACCTTTTTTGGTTGATTCAACTGTTGATATATTTGATCTATATATAAATCAGATGCATTAGTTATAACAGTGTCCGGAGAAAGTGTCATTTATTTAAAGTATTTGCTTCATTCCATATGCACATGAATCTTGGTTTGATATATGTATATTATGTATTGGCATGTCGGATTTTTGGACATTAAAATTTTTGTATTAAATATGACATTATTTTTTAGTTATTGTATGTTGTGAACTATTAAATATTTTTAAGTTTGTGAACTATTAAATATTTTTAAGTTTGTGAACTATTGTTTTCTTTAGCAGTTGTTAACTATTGCTTTGTGTAATGTATGTATTACTATCCATTCTTTGAATGCTTTCATGATGAACAAGGATATACGTAACTCTTATAACAGCATTTGTAATTATTGTAATTAGTAGTAGTAATTATGTAATTATTTATAGTTATTACTATCATATTATTTATTGAAGAATAGAGAATGAGACAAGGTATCAAGTTTGAATTCATATTGATATGGTACAAATTACAAAGAGCTCTTGAACCATGATCTTCTTTTTCTTTTTAGCAGTGTCTTATGGTCTTGTTAAAAAAAATAGTCACTCTTTGTTCCTTGCACACCAGTAGTGTGCGATCTTTTTTCAGTCACTTCGTCTTGCTATAGGCAGTGTTTATGGTCTTAGGTTTCTAGTTTGTAGTTCGTCTTTTATTCTTCATGGTTCTTGGTCCAGCTTTATCTCGTGATCAAGCACACGATTTGGTTCTTGTTGTATGTAGTATTTGTCTTTGATATTCCGTGTATATATTTTTGGGGATTTTTTAGTGCACTATATATATTACTAAAACACCACGTTAAAATATGAAAATGTTTTCAATTTTTTGTGATGCATTTTCGAACGTATCCTAAATAAATAGAATTCTGATTTAACGTTAAAAGATTCTGAAGATGTATCTTTAAAATTATTTCGGAGATACATCTCTGGACGGTATTGACTCTATATTGTACTAGAACTCTTCTCCTTTCTCATTTAAAAAAAAAATTCAACTTTCTCAATCTCTCTCAAAGGTTCTTTCATCAACCAAGTTCAAAATCAATCAAGCAAGTTTAAAACTTATTCCATCAACATCAAGTGCATTAGAGACATCATTTAACACTGAAGTAAAACTTTGAATTTGTAAGTTTTTGATATTTTGAAATTTTTTGTTGAGTTTTTGTATAAACGAGTAGAAGTTGACGATTTAGGTAATAAATGAGTAGAAATTGCATGAATAATAGTTTATACATATTGTAGAACATGTTTGATGGTTAAAAATAACGACCAAACTATTATTTTTGGGGGGTTTGGTGGTCTGCGTTACCGACATTGACGTACCTGAAGAGTTGCTTGAAATTTCGGAGATGCATCTCTAAAAATTTTCAACGTTTCAATTACCAATATCCGAAGATGTATCTCTGAAATTTCTCAATGTTTGTATTGCCAACACCTAGAGATGCATCTCTGTAAATTATCAATTTTTTTAGCTTTTCTTGATTGTATGGATGCTTGTACTAATTTTCTGGTTTACTTACATGCATTATGGCTGATAGAGACGAAAAACTGAGGCACAAGAGGATTGCATAACATGCGTCAGTGTAAAGGGAGAAAAATCAGATTTCAGAGGATCCTGTTCACTCTAGCCATGTAGAGACATCTACTTCTAGGTCTCATGCTTGTCCATCTTCTTCTTTCCATAGGAGGCGAATTTCACCTACAGATACATCACTACCTCCATCCTCCCGCAAGCGACAAATTTTACCTATTCGAACGCTAGAGGTACCCAAGTCAGTAGTGGTACCTGAGGCACTAGTGCCACCTTAGGTACCAGAGGGACCTCATACTAATGAGACTTCTAAGCCAGTGCCACCTCTGACTAATGAGGCTATTCAGTCAGTGCCACCTCCGAATGATGAGGTTGCTAAGTCAATGTCACCTCAGGCATTTGGAGGAGACCCTGTAGAGTTGTCACCGCTGCCTCCATAACTAAATCATAGTGCAAACATATCTGAGAAGGAGATGTAAAATTAGTTGGATTCATTCTTTTTAAATTACATTTATTATTATATTACAAGTTTCTGACATAGATTTATTTTTCTGCAGGACCATGATTCGCTGAAGTTTATTAACCATGGGCAAAAGATTACTGGCTTGTGTTGCGGTGAGATTTAAAGACCAAATATATTAGATTAGCTTGACTCACAAAAATAAGATGTCACTGCCGAACTTTTATTTTTCCAAGGGAAGGGAGAAAAGATTGAACAAAAACCCTAAGTAAACATGCAAAGTAAAAAGCAAGACCTAAAGCTAAGCAAAGAGCGATAAAAGGTACGGGGGGGTTGGTTATATTAAAGGAAGACACTAGCATTCTAAGCATCTATAGTACTCTACAAGAACCTCTTAAAATATCTATGTATTTTTTGTGGCTAAAAGTTGTTTGCTATTGATTGGGGAAAATGTGCAATGTTTCATTGTTTTATTGAAAAGGGAGAAAAGAAAAAGGTAGCTCGCCAGGATCTCGCAATCATGTGCCTACATATCCTTAATAGGAAATCAGAGGAATCGTAGTCTGGATGGCTACGGGTGAAAGCATTTTTGTTGGTTGGTTTTAGATGAAGAGACAAGTTATCATCTTAAGAGAAAACTCTCAACTATACCACCATACACATAGAGAAAATGGATCTTTGCATCATAATAAGAGAATGACTCCAACTTGGATGTAGAATCAACAAGTATGTCACATACCTCTCTTAAATAGAAAAGTATCACAAAGGTTTGATTATATTATGGGGGTAGAAGAGACATCTCATCTATAAATATGACTCATGCCTAATCTCTTTGGAAAAGTTTTAAGTGAAAATCCAAAGTGGCAAAGATTCAAAGTTAAGAAAATCCTAAGGTTTAAATTAGGTCTAAACAATAGGTGAGTAAGGAATGCAACAACTATATACATTCATTATGACAAGAAAGAAGTCAACAAGAAATCCATTTCCCTTGGATTTAGGCAACAATGGAATAAAATTAACATGGGTACACAAGCAATACATGACATTCAAAAATGAGATCAAGTATAGAAACATGATACACAACATCAACATGATTTAAACACATGACTAAATAAAGAGCAACATCAAGACATAAGGCGTGACTCAAACATGGTATACAAGCAATACATGACATTATTATCAACCAAAACATGCTCTTAACAAGACAACATCAAGACATGGACATCACAAGAAACCAAAGACATGGATTTATCATTTATCAATCGAGCATCAAACGTGAAACATTTGAAACAAACATGGACTTTTGGTCAACAACATAATCAACAAAAAGTCTTACATATTAAACATTAAAAAATAAAATGAACACAACATCATAATCAACAATGAAACAAAGTGTACAAACATTTTAAACACACATAAACATAAAATGACCATCATAATCAACAATCAAACCAAATGCACAAATTAAATAAACAAAGATGTTTAAAAAATAAACTCAAAGGTACAATCAAAAATAAAAAACCCTAATAAATAAATAAAAGAGATTATAAACATTTTAGATTTTTAAATGTGAAAGTAATAATATAAACAAGAAAGAAATGAAAATGTTTTTTTTTTTTTTTAATCAATATGGAAAATATAAATACCAAGCATATTTTTAGTTTTCTAATGTTTAAAACAAAATAATTAATAATATATTTTTTATATGAAAAATTAAAAAATAAGGAAATAAATGAATGATAAAAAAATATTTTATTGAGTTTTAAATGTTAAAATAAATTGAAAGTTAAAAAAAATTGAAAAGAAAATAAATAAATAAAAGGATGAAAAAAGGAGAAAGAGAGGAATAATAAGGAAAAAGATGAAAATAATGCCAAAAAGGCCTGAGGAGAATCAAACCCAGAACCCTTGCATGCACACACCAAGACCAACCCGCACATTGCAGATAACAAAATGCATTCAACAAAATATATAATAAAATGAATATTTAACAAAAATGCAACTTTCTCACGACTGTTACCGTAATTCTTTTTTTTTTCCTTCACAAAAATGCAACTTTCGTATTTCTGCATCAAATTAAACATGTGGATATACTATCTCACTTGAAATTTAACAAGGAATCCAAAAATGCAAGTAGTTTTCATTTATATCAATCACAACTCACGAATTTTAAACATTATCAGATGAACCTTAAGTTTTTAAAGTGAAATTAAATACCATATACAATCAATCAATGCCCATTTTCATGGGATTTTCACTCAACATGTCAAGGCAAGCAAAATAGTAACTTGAATGGATAAAAATGATGCCTTAAAGAGAGAGTTCGAAATCAAGAAACTTTACCTATTAGAGTGTGTCTAATGTACCTTTTAGTGCACTTCCAAATGAGATGTGATAATTCCTACAACTTCCTTGAGTCTCCAGGAGTCTAATGATATGCTTACTTTGTCTTGAGATATTCCAAATCGTTCTGTCCAAATCCACTTGTAAGTGAGAAAAATGAGTTTTTGGTTATGGTGTTTGAGGTGTTTCAGTTGAGTTTCAGTGCATACAAAAGCTTAAGTAATGTCTATGGAATGTTTTTGTGGTGGAAAGGTGGAAGAAAAGTGGAAGAATGAAGAGTTTCGAAGAAATGATTTTTTGATCAACAATGGAGTTTTGACTTTGTGATTTTTGGTTCAAGTCGGAATGATGGGGTTCTATATGATTCAAAAGTTCATATGAGGTGTGTGGAATATACTTGGGTGAAGAAAATGGATGTGTGATGGTTGTATGGTTTGGAAACTCAAAATGGTTTGAAAATGAAAAAATGCAAGAATAGAACAATGCTTTGCTTGGTGATAGATGTTTGTGTTGAGATTTCTGTGTGTTTTTGTTGGTGTCTTTGCAATGCAATGAAGTG